AGACACTTAGACAAAGAAGTACAAACAGCAAGTAAAAATATACCAAAGGTTCAATATCATTAGCCTTTTGAAAGATTTAGATCAAAACAATGCTGAGATCCCATTTCACTTCAGAAAGAATGGCTATTACCAATAAATCAACCAATAACAAATGCTGGAGAGGCCTTGGGGAAAGAGAACCTTTCTCCATTCTTGGAGGAGTGTAGACCGGTGCAACCACTGTGGAAATAAGTGTGGAGATTCCTCAAAAAAGAGGATTACAGGTCCCATGTGACCCAGCTATACCCATTCTGGGTATCTCTTCAGAAAAATGAAAAGCATTATACCACAGTGATACGTGCACATACATGTTCATAGCAACACAGTTTGTAATAGCTAATTCTTGAAAATGGCCCAAATGCCCATCAACCAATGAATGAATAAAGAAAATGTGTTTTTTTATGCAACAAATTAATACTCAGCTGTAAAAAAAAGGATAAGGTTGAGACATTTACACATGTGAATATTGTATCGTTTTTCTGGTGTGAGAAATTTAAAATATAAATAAGGACCAAAATGCCTAACAGATATTTTGTGAAATAGGAAGAGAAGGTTCAAATGAGAAGGAGCACAAGGGAGGGAGAAGGGGAAACAAAGGAAAGGAAAAGAAAAAAACGAGAAAAGAGATAAAATGAAAGCAAAGCTTTTGTAAATAGGAAGAAGGGAAGAAGGGGGGAGGGAGCTGGGGAAATAAGAATCAAGACATATCATGCAGATCAGAGCAAAGATGGCGGATAGATACCAGCTGGCTACAGAGGCTCCCTGAGATAGTCAACTTAGAATTCAACATAATACAGCATGGGGAGACCGAACAGAGGGAGATGAATTCTCTCCTCCCAAGACGAAATTAAGGTGAGACGAATCAATCAAACATACAGTCCTGGTGCTATTATTGGAACAGCTAAAGGTTCAGTGCTCCTGCCCAGCGGGTGACTTGCCGAGCCATCTGAGGTCCCACCGCTTCCACTCACTGGCAGCACAGTCACCCTGAGATTGGGGGTCGGCGAGCTGAACAGAGAGCTGACCTGGCAGGGAGCCTGCATCGACCTGTGGTGAGTGATGGGAGTGGAGCCATTCCACAGAAAGGGGGGCTTTGGCAGACGACATTCTGGGACCTGGCAGGACTGGCAAGTACAAGGGGCAGCCGTGACTTCAGTCAGTTGTTCCCTTCCCAAAAGAGATTGGTGGAGTGAGCTAGACCTGGGTCACGTGACCTGGCTGAGACCATATAGGTTATCCTAAATCAATTCCTTGTGGTGGCGGCGCACACTAAGGCAGTGAAGGCCTCAGAAGTTTGACTGATCCAAAGGAGAGGCGGTGCACAGTAATAAAGCACAGGCCTCAGCAGCTTGACTAATCCGGAGGGGAGGGGTCAGCATATTCTTTGTTCAGAGTGATATTAGCCTGCTTGGGTTTGTTCAATCTCAACATAATTGAACACATGGATAACTGCATGAGTGTTTAAGTGTATAGGTTTGATAACCATATTTCTAAGTTTTTGTTGGATAGTTGAACAGAACTGGTTGCAGTCTCACTGTTTGAATCCCCACTTTATATGCTCCACTTTAGTATCTTGAATAACTATTTGTAAGAGGACAATCTATAATCAACTAGTGATTTCTTACTATTTTTTTCTTTGGAAGTATGTATTATTTCTACCTGTTTTCTGTTTTGTTTAGTTTTTCTTTAAAATCTTTTTTAAAAAGACACTATAGTACCCAGTGCTGATCCCAGAGTGTCATGATGTAAAATCCAGCAATACTATTATTCTTTATGCAGAATGATTTTAACCTGCTTTAGTTTAATCTCAACCTAAATGAAGATATGGATGACTGCATGTATGTTTAAGTGTATAAGACTGACAACTATGTTATTAAGTTTTTGTTGGACAGTTGAACAGAACTGTTTGCAGTCTCGCTGTTTGAATTTCCACTCTACATGTTCCATTTTTGTATCTTGAACAACTATTTGTAAAAGAACAATATGTAAACATCAACTAGTGATTTCTTACTGTTTATTTTTTCTCTGAACGTATGTATTATTTCTACCCATTTTGTTTTGTTTAATCTTTCTTTAAATAAAATTTAAAAAAAGAAAGACATATCATGTAGAAGTACAAATCTCATTTGATTAATGTGATCACTATACCAATAAACTTAATTAATGGTAATAAAAGAAAAAGAAAACATAAATAGGATTGGGAGAAGTGATATTAAAATTGAGAGAAAAGATATGATGGTCAATGTGCTATACATTCTTTAAAGTATATGCTTAACACAACTATAACACTAAATGAAACATAAATTTGAAAAACAAAACAAAGAAAAAAAATGACAGACATCCTACATCATGGTGAGCTATTAAGAGATTTCCTGATGAAATCAGTGAGATAAGGAAGACGGTAACAACACTTCCAGTGCACATTAGAGTGTAGACCCTTCCCGTGGAAAGAGTATCAGTTGATAGGATGGAGTAGGTAGACAGATAGACAATATACAGAAAACAGAAAAGCAAACAAAGGTCAGAAGTAGTAGAAGAGAAATCACACTGCTAATATTCACAGCTGACATGTAAGAGTTTTAATAATCAAAAGATGTATAGGAGGATTTAATTAAAATTAGCTGTTGTGGTCAGGGTTGGGAAATAATACAGGACACATAATTTATAAAATTATCATATAATATTCACCCAAAGAGTCAAATGCAGAAGAGTGCAGGAGATCTCTTCACACACTAGAGACTCAAAGAACTCAGCTGAGGGCCTGGATCCCACAGCAATGTCCTGCACAATCCAGCTGAAGACCTAGAGCCCACGGCAATGTCTCGTGTGAGTCTATATCAAGGATCCACTCTGGGAAGGCCCAAAGGTCAGTGGTGCAAGCTAGAAAGTCTGCACCAGTAGGATGAAGGATCTGTGCCAGCAGGCTGAGGGATCTGCACTGGATAAAGGAAGCAATGCTCAAAGTAAGGGCCAGTGCCCCTGAAGAGAACCGCAGCCATCCCCAGTGACAGCAAGGACCTGAGCTCCTCCTACAATAACACCTGAGCTCATATCAGTAGAGCCAGAGTAATGCTTTTCTAGGAGAATCAACAGCCCACTATTCTTCTGTCTAGTTCCCTTTTCATGCTGTTGACAACAATCCTCAGGTAGGCCTTCCATGCAGAACCACTCTGATTCAGTTCCTGGGGTGTTCCAAGTTGACCATTAGTTAATCCACCACACATTAACATTCTATCAAATAAAATGCAAGTAATCAAAAACAACTTCCTACTTCCAGTAAGATTTTCTGAAAAGACATTTCTGTCAACATCAATGCAAAATTCCAGATGTCTTGAAATAAATATGACAGATGTATGAATATTAAAAGCTAAGTAAAATATAAGCAAGTGTAGAGAAATGCTCTGTTTATGATGATATATAGATGAAAATTACTCCAAAGCTCATCTGTAGCATTCTTATAAAAATTTTGGTAGGATTTTGTTAGGAAATGATTATCCTAAGATTTATACAAATAGAAGATATCGAGAGTTGTCAAATCTCTAAGATGAAACAGAAGGTGGAATACAAATAGGACAAAAGAAACAAAACTGGAGGATCCACACTGACTCACATCAAGGTTCATTATAAAGGCATGGAATTGGGTATAAGACACCCCAAAATTTCAGTGATTAACAACTGAGTTAAGTAACAAAATTCAAATGTATGTTTGTTAGTTGATTGATGACAGAACAGCACAACGGGGTTATGACAGAAAGTATGGTCTTTTCAATGGAAGGAGCCCAAACAACTGTCTATTTATATGAAAAAAAATGAATCTTGGCTCTTTGCTTCATACCATAGCAAATCCAGGTGGAACTGTAGATCTAAATGTGAAAGTAAAATCGTGACTCTCTTAAAGGAAAATATTAAGCAAGTGTATCTGTGACCTTGAGATTAACATTGATTTTTAAGGGATCCAAAAATCAAAACAAATAGTCAAAAAACACTAATCAAAATGGAAACACTTGATATAAACTATCACATTAAAATGAGATACTTGCATTTATCAAAACACATGAAAGTAGAAACCTTGCACAAGAAAAATGTATGACAGGTTTAAACAAGCACCTCGCAAGAAGAGAATATGGAAATGGCAACTGAACACGTGTATAGCAGTCCAACTTCTACAGACCAGGGAAGATCAAGTCAGAAAAACACAACAGAAGCTAACAGAAAAGAAAAAGCATAAATAACAGCAAACATATAGAACATTACATCCTGCAGGGATTCAGGAAAACAGTTTCTAGGGCCACTTTGGAAACTTCTGAACACACACACATTTATCTACCATGAGCTGTTGACTTCATCCTGAGAAATATACTGAACATAAGTATATATGTGCAACAGAAATACATATAAGGACACATAGAATTGCTACTCATAATATCCAAGGAACTAAACAAAACAAAAATACTAATAACAATACATTGGCATATAGTCATGCAATGGCAGAATACTAAATATGTGAAAATGAATTAGCCATGACTATGCACATCAGTAAAACTCAAAAATATGTTGAAAGACAAGAAGGAAAGGATGTACAGTGTGTGATTCCATTTCTGTCAAAGGAATGATATGCAGAACCAATCTGTGCTATCAAAGTGAGAATAATGGGTGGCCAGAAGGGGGCACCAAAGGCCCTGTATGATTTCAGTGTCATTCTTTTTCTATGATTTCTATTGAGCCCTATTGGCTAGAATAGACAGGTTTTAGACATGAGAGACATGCAATAAAAGCATTTAGGTGCAAATAAAAGTATGAACTCAGTTGAAATTTTTCTGGTTTCCATTCTTTCCTAGACAATAAAGAAAAAAAATAAAGGAAAGTTAATTTCAGACTTGTTAAGCAGTGGGTTTGTGTTATGGGAATCATATTTATGTGACATACTGGCCAGAATGACAACACAGCAAGCGAGTTTGATAAACAATAATTTATATAACCAGCACGAGTGCAATAGACCTTTGAATCACAAGTTACAACACCAGTAATTATACATTTTCAGTAACAATAATCACATGAATTTTTTCCAACTGCAGAAACTTACTGATATGAGTAATGCTACTTCATGACAAGTGGAGTTGGTAAATGGGAATTCTGTATGTTAATGTAAAGCTGAAGTCAACTGCTTCATTTCTTTTTTGGAAAATTTCTCCTGGATCTTCACGTACTTCTCCTTCTCCAATTGCTCAATCTCCAGAGACAGCTTATACACTTCCAGGGCCATTTTCACATCAGAGGGGTTTGGGAGGCACTCCAGAAGCTTTCTGCCAGCAGCCACTTGCTTGCATTCTTCAGGGACCTCCTAAAGGTGATTTAAAGAAGTGAGCAGGAAGATATAGTGCATCTGCAGAGGAATCACCGTAAAAATGTGGACAGATGGAGGAAGAGCAGGAGGCAGAGGACACCACCTTCCAGGGGGTGTTTTCCTGTGGGTCAATCCAGTTCTGCTGCAAGGCACAGAAAGCATAGATCTGTGCAGGGGCCTGGGCAGCCAAAGGATGGTTCTATGGACTAACAGAAATGGAGCAAATATGGAATACTGTGTTGACTGAGGGGATCAGGAGACATGGGTCTCAAGGGGCCGTGAAGTCTAGGATTTGTTTCAGCTCTTATGGTACTATGAGAACAATTGCCTCTCGTAACCCACGGCTGTGCTTCCAGGTTGAAAGTGATCATTTTGATCAATTACTTAGATATCCTGACAAAAGTCAGAATTCACTAGTGTTGGCTAGGACAGAGCTTTGGAGAAGACTGCTCCTGTTAGGGTTTAACAACACAGAACTGCCCTGAATTGTGCCACTTACCCACTCACACTTGGGTATTTCTGGAGTCCATGTTCTGTTCTCCGAGCAAATGATATTTTGGGGACCAACCACCTCATAGCCAGAGTCACAGTGGATGGTGACATTTTCCGTTTCAGTATAGTGATCCTTCTCCACAGATAGCTTTCCATTTAGTATATCTGGTTTCAGACACACAGCTATGAAGGAAACATTTGAAATATTCAATTTTTTTAATAAAAGAGCATCAAAACAGCATTTGAGGGCTGGGAATTTAGCTTAGCAGCACAAACACCTGTCTGGCAAGCACAAGTCATGAGTTCAATTCCTGGTACCAAAAAAGGAAAAAAAAAACAAAACAGCACTGGATAATGACAAGGATGGGAAACTTTGCTCATACTTACACTCAGATTGTGCAAGTTATCATCTTTTTCACATCAATGATAATTCTAATAATCATAATTAACATTTACTGAGTGACTACTATATGTGTATCTGTATGGTAAGTTTTTCACCTGGCTTATCTCATATAGTCCTTTTTAATGTAACCAAAAATGTTAAAAATCTTCTCAGTGCCATATCATTTTTAAGGGATAGAGTCTGTGCTCCCAGATCAATGCCCACATTCTTATTTGTGTGTGACCTTAGGTATATGCTTCTCATTGCATGGGCTTAATCGAAACACTGGTGTTTGTTAGCTAAACAGTGAAGGCATCATACTCAATGATGAATCAGAACCTTTTTTTGACTTATCATGTTTCTCCTTCAGGAGAACCACCAGGAGGGTCAGCACATCATCAAAAGTGAGAATGCAAAGGTCACAGAAAAATGGTGAGCACCATGTGGCTTTAGTAGAGATTTCCAACGCTGACTTGGGAATTGATATTTGAGATTCTTCTTTCTTGAGCAGTTGAAAAGAACTCAAGACTCTCATGAAAACTTTACCAGAGGTGAAAAACATTCTCGGCTAAAAGACATTGTCTCTAGACTTTCTTGGAAAATATACAACAATGTAGTAGTGATTGCCATCCCAGGGAATGAGACTAGTAGATGCTTCTAGGACTTTGGAGTGGGAAGTAAAATTCATTTTTAATGTATTCATCAATGGATTTCTAAAGTTTACCATTCATGGTTTAAATATCCTGAGTAAGTAAATAAAAGGCAAAATTTAGATAATCTTTATCAAACAGAAAACATTACTTTCAAAACTTTTTAACTTTATCTTCATTGAACCGTGAATGGTGCTGAAGTTTACCTTTTTAATCTGACACTGAAAAGGCTGAGGTAGCCAGCAAAAGAACTTGCAGGAGACGTAGAAAATTGAACAAAAAAATGCCCACACATTCAAATGTAGCCTCAGGATAAGGAGGTGGCTTAGTGCATTATCTGGTGCTATAAGGGAATACTACAGCCCTGGTGCTTAAAAGTTCCAAACAATAGGACCTGGTAAATGGCTGCAGTGTAATAGGGTAGAGGGTGAATGGACAGCCGCAAGAGATACAGAACTCACTGACGCCACTTCTGTAATCTCCTGCTCTCAGGATCACTAATCCATTCCCCCAAGGAGAGCATCAATCTGTTCTTGAGCTCTCTCTACCACATCCTAACTGCCTTTTACATCTTTGCCTCGTAATACTATTGTACTGGGGGTTTCAATCTAAGGACCCTGGGAGAGTTACACATTTAAATCCACAGCATGCTGCTACTGGCCTCTAAAGTTCACTGCTTTCTCTCAATACCAATCACATTTATTCCATCCTAGAAGTCCTAAAGTATTAACTTGTTCCATCTTAAAATTTCAAAGTATGTGTTATCCTGTAGCAAATTCCATCTGTGAGCCCATGAAATACAAGTAAGTTATCTGTTTCAAATATGATGGTAGGACCAGTGTATGTCATTCCAAAAGGAAGAAGTGGATATAAGGATTATTATATCCCATGTAAATGTGTAAGTGGTAGTTTCACTTCCATAATTCTGCTAGACCTTTCCCTATCTTTAGAATCCCTGACATCTATGCCAAAATGACAGTTTCTGGCCTGAGACTCAAGGCTTTTTGACCCACATCTTGAAATCTAGATAAAGGATATGATGCTCCCAAAGTTCTTGAATTCCACACATCTTCAGAATTAGCAGCACATAGATACCTCCCAGATTTACGGCCTGTACCTTGCAGAGAAGTAGCCTGAGTTTAATCTGGGCCCGTGTGAGCATGGCTAGATAGCCAGGTGGCCAGCACTGGAATGTGGGCATCAGAGACCAAAGTATCTCAGGGCAGTAAAATGGTGGTGGGTGTGGGAAGACAACTCCCCAAAATATTCTGCCTTGCTAGCGATGTGAGCCTGTGATGGGAAGAGAAGTCTTGCTATCTGTGGAATGTTTCTGAGGCCCACTGTCCTGCTCTCCCCTCTATGCAAACTGATCTCCTTAGCAAATAGTCCATTTGACCACAACTTTGGTTCTCACTCCTGAAAATGATCTTTCATTCTCTACACATGACCAAGCTGAAACTTTTCCAAATCTTTCCGGTCAGCTTCCCTTTTAATTATAAATTGTCTTTAAATCATTCCCCTGTGCCTTCATCTGTGTGTGTGTGTGTGTGTGTGTGTGTGTGTGTGTGTGGTTAGAGACACTCAGGAGGCTGAATGCTTAGCTGTTTAGTTGTTTCTTCTACCAGGTATTATAGTTCATCACTCTTAAATTCCAACTTCTATAAGCCCTCATTAACAGATACAGTTCTGCAAATCTCTTCACAACTTTATAGTGAGAATGGACTTTATTCAAGTTCACAAACTTTGTTCTTTATTTCCATCTGGAACCTGATCAGAATGGCTTTTGTTGTTCATATCTCTTACATTTTCATCATTACTGCTTGAGCAGTCACCACAGAGTTCCAGACTCTTGCTCATCTTTTCATGTATTCTGGGCCCCCACCAGAATCAGTCTTTGTAGTCAGCTCCAAATATCCTTTCATATTTTCAGGTATTCGCCATAGCAACAACCCCATTTCTCAGTAGCAATGTTCTGGTTTCATTTTCTGTTGCTATTCCTGAATTCCACACACTGGGGAATTTAGTTTAATTTAATTTATTTATTTATTTTGTATTTTTTGGAACTAGGGATTGAACTCATGCCCACATGCTTGCAAGGTAGGTGCTTATGCCACTGAGCTAAATCACTGGCCCTTTAATTTTAAATAAAAGTTACTTTAGCATGGTTCTGGAGATTAAGAAGCCCAAAGGCATGACACCAACATCTGGCATGCACTTTGGTGCTCCATCATAACGTGATAGTAGGTAAAAGAGTGACTGACAGTGAGCCAGCAAGAGAAAACAGAGCCTATTCAGTTCACCTGTATGACTCACTTACCTGATAACTCAGCCATTCCTGTGATAATGGAATTAATCATGTCAGGAGCCCTCCTTCCCTCAGACCCATTCACCCTGTCTATAATTCCCCTCTTCACTATCTGTTGCAACGAGTCTTAACCCATGAATCTCTTGGTGACATCCTCAAACTATAGCAGGAAGTACTGAAAAAAAATTCTTATACTGTCCATAAACTTTGGGTGGTTAACTACCAACTTGATAGTAAGATAGAAGAAAAAATATGAGTTCTTAGTTTCAAATTAACATGACACTCCCAAGTCTCGTTATTTTTAGAAGACACAAATTATTTTCGCATTCTGAACTTGACAAAGCTCAAAAATGTCTACCGTTTTCCAGATAAGCGTTTATGCCACTGAACTAAATCCCTGGCCCCCCGTCTACCGTTTTCAAGCCAAGCATCAGAAGAACTTAGTGGAAGGAAAGCAACTTCAGTTGAAGGAATTCTCCCGTCTTACAGAAATTTTTGCTTTATTTTTTAAAAATATGATTATTGAAAATTTTTACCACATGAGGAAATTGCAAAAATTTTGCTATAAAAGGGTGAATTCAGACCCAGAGTCATGTTATATTAAAACTATTCTCAATGAACATCAAGCCAACTATAAGAAATATTCATCTGTTTAAACTCTCTCCAATTTTCCCATAAATTCAGCACCATAAAGGCATAATTACTGTATGTTAAACAATGACTTTAGCATTGAAATAAGAACTGTGAAATGATGAGTAGTTACACCACAAGAACATGGTCTCAAGTCTCACAAATTCATATACAGAAACCTCCAAGGAATTAAGAGCCTTAGAAGTTAGAGGAGGTCCTTTGTTGAAGAATGATTTCCTCAAAAGATTGAGACTAGGTGAAAGAATTTTAAGTGCTATATTTATAAAGATAAAAGAACAAGCATGTTTAACAATCTGTGGACATTTGGGCAAAAACACCCTTGTTGACTTTTTCATGGATCCTTCTATTTTACCAAATAAGCCAGCTCATCTTTCTCAAGTATAATATACTGCATATTTACACTTCTCTATATTTTACCTTTGGGATTGTACTTTTAATTTTGTATGCTTTTACCTTCTCTATTCATTCTCTGAAGTCTCACTTTCTCTGTGAAGCCTTCTTTGACTACTCTACAACCCAATGACTCTTCTTCCCTTTTGCAGGTCTTGTTCGCAGTAGTTTTCTTGGGATTATTTACTGAGTTGCTGTTATGCAGGTCCTGCTTAAACCTCACAACAACCAGGAAGTAGATATTATCATCATGTGTACTTTGTGGATGACAGAATTAAGGCTTAAGGGGTTAAGTACACCGAATCATGTGACACCTCTATTAAGTGTCAAGAGTGGGATTAGATTCTGGCCAAGTTGATGTGCTCTTTACAACTCCATTTTGTTCCCTAGCAGTTCTTTAGCTCCCATGGACTATATGGAGTGCAGTCTTCTCTCCACATTTTGACCTCAAGGATCATGACTTGTTCCATTTTATGTCTCTATCAACCAGTTTTTTGTTATGAACATTGGTAGCAACATGAAATTTTTATCTGTAAGACTAGACTTCATGTATAATTTTTTTAAAAATTCCTTTAAAATGCTCCATTAGACAAGAATTTATATTTTTTAACACAAAAATTACACATGTATTTATGCTATGATTTGAATTAGGTTTCAGAGAAAAATGAACTAAATGAATGGCTGAGCCATGTTAACCTGTTATGGTAAAATGTCAAAAAACAAGTGTATTTGGAGAGCAAAATCTATAGAAGGAAGATTTTAGAAACATTATTGAAAAGAGACTTCTGGAAAGATGGCAGAGCAG